GGGAATATTGGAAAAAATGCAGAATATTGACAAATGTGTAAAAACGAAAAAATGTGAATGACTGTTCTAAGCCTTCTGGCCACCCCATTAACATGCATTTCCATGAATATTTGTGAAAATATAATACATCAGCATGTAGTGAGTTTTATAACCACAATGCAGTTATCTTGACAAAAAAAATAGACTGGAAGAGCACACAGAAATGATGCATACAGTAACCACTTTATTAATGTTGCAAGAGACAGGTCTTTGTGAGTAAGAAAATAGTGAATTGATGCCATACCGACTTTCATGATAATGTTTCAAATTCTCTCAAATAAGAAAAAATGACGATGGCGCAAATTTCAGTTTATAGCATTCCACGGATGAATAACTGGAGGTGACCTATGACCTTACATTCTGATTGAAATCCATAACACAGACAAGTAAAAAGAGCATGCCGATGAGAAAAAAAAAGACACCTAAAAGATTTGCTTAAAACTTAGCGACAATATATACAAACATAGAACTGGAACCATACTTATTTGTTTAAATACTGAAGTATAACTGATTCCAAATTTTAAAAAAGGTAAGTCCGTACATCTTCAATTTCAATAAAGTGATAAAATTGTACAACACAATATGTGACATGTATAAGTTTTTAAATTACTTGGTAAGTGAATACTTGTAGTCTCTGGTGGAAATACTGACAAGTGCATTAACAATTTGAACAGCATTTACTGTGATTTCTGACCAATAATTGCAGGTGGAATTTGTTCAAAGATGTTATAAAAAGTTTGCTATGGAATTCAGGAAATGGTAAAAAAATTGCACTGGAGTAAATGTTTCAAGTTTTAGATGTAATGCGGTTGTCATAGTGCAAACATAATCATAGTATCTATGATGAGTTTAGTCAGCCATCAATACAATACCAGTAACTTACAGTTTATAACAGCATTCAAATTTCTCCAAGTGATTCAAAACAAACTAAGGAATGTCCAGTCTCAGTGTAGAAGTAGAAGATACCAATAATTATGAAAGTACAGTATGAAGTTTGCAAATACTTTCCCGCAAAGTGAAAATATGATACGTTCTTCATCAGGTTTTGCTGTTAAAATCAGATTTCAGAATAATAACATCAAATCAATTAATCAAAAAAATACATAAAACTTCTCTAAAACTGTTTCCCTCATTGTATCTACCTCCTCGCCATATATCATCGATTTCTTACTGCTATAAACTCTAAGAAGACGAGACACTTGCTTTTAATACTTGTTTTGACACCTGCTTTATCAAAATCACATTTACATTGTATTTATTTTCTGCAAAACCACCAAACTCTGATGATGGAGTCTTATTGCTTTGGATACGCTAAAATTTGCCTTGCAATATAAGACTAAAATCAATGTGATAATATTACTTATTAACTATATTGACCAATCAGCTGTCACTACATTTAAAATCTATCCTTTAACAAGAGCTGCCAGCAGCACTCAAAGAAAAGTCTACATAAAATGCTGAAAAAAATATTACAGAAAAAGCGTTATCAATTACATGCTTTTTTAAATAGTATTCTAAAATTAATCTACCGATACTTCAAGATTTTGCAAATTTTTCTTGCTGCTATCTTGCCAGGATGCCTCAAAACATGATTTGACTATAAAATGTTGAACATACAAGTTTGTCTGGACTAATTCTATATTACACAAAAAGTAGTGATGTCATCATTTTATGCTGATGATGTCATTAAGTTTTCACAGCAAAAGTTCACCTGTCATTAATTTATGTGTTGAAATGTCAGCAAAACATGTGCAGACTATCATGAAAATATGGATACTGTAAGTTTTCTTAAAGACTTTTGCTAGTCGGGACCCAGAGTATCTTGGCTTGTTCTTGGTCTACCACCTGCTTAATTCTACAGCAGAGTCTGGCTAGACTTGGTCCATGAACAACGGCTGCAAAAGAGATAAAGGGCAATTATTAGTTGTACTGATTTTAGCAGCCATTTCCAACAACATCTCTATTAAAAATCAAATTTAAATACCGTAACAAAAATGCTGTATTAGTATTATTTTGGTGAGCATTTGGTGTGACGAATAACAACAGTATATGTTAAACAAAAACATTGTTTTTTCTTACCTGTAAATAAATGTCTGTATTCATTCTCAATTCTAGTTGTATTCTCAAATATTTCCTTGGCTTGCTTCATTGTTAACTTTTCAGTCAAGAACCGTGGATCTTTTTGCTCTCTGAAATTTGTCAAAATAATTTTATGAATACACAATAGGTTTATCAGTCAAATATCAAATAACACAGTAAAGATAATAAGCATAAAATAGTTTCAAAAAAATAAGATTTGGAAAGAAACTGAATTTTTTATTCTGTATTCAAATATATGGAAAGTTGAGTCATTAAAGGGTATGTAACAACACTCACTTGATTTGCTTGGCAGACTTGTGTTTCATAAAAATAACAATTGGATAAAAGTGATATCTGTGGAGTCTCTCGATGGATGAAGGACAGACATCTAAAATACAGTGGCAATCCTGGAAGAGAACACACATTAGGTTTGTGTTATGAGGCAGATATAATGCAACTATTCAATATTCTAAATGTATTACTGTAATTATTCAATGGGTTTTAATTTCATTGATATCAACTAAAGCCACATGTCCATGTGCATAGAGAGGACTTGCACAACAATAAAATTGTATATTGATAATGGCCAGTTTTTTATCTAAAGGCAAGCTAGTGAATTAATTTACTATCAACTGTCAAATTTATGTGTCATATTGCATGATGTTATGTTAAATG